TGTCAAATATTTTTTTAAATGCTGTTTTACATTTTGAAAAACCACCAGGGAAAGCATTTCACACAAACTGAATGATGTTTTTCTCTGTCTGCAGTTTGTGTGAAATTGAGGAAAAGACACGGTGACAGGAGAAGCATTCTGGCTCATTGTCAAATGGTGAAACATCTGAACACATTTCAATGACAGTGAAGCGGAAACACAGCAACACAAATTGCCTTAACTGGGTTTTCTAGAGATATGCAGAGCTTCAGGTGAAATTCAACAACTGGATTTAATTGGTGAATGAAAATATTATCCAAGCAAATGGAAACAACTTGTTTGAACCCTCTGCCGACAAATCACCAAGGTCTTAGGTGTGTACAGGCATAAGACTGTATAAACTGTATCAGTTTTAACCAGCACAGGTCATTGGCTACGGAGGATATGAACAAAGAGAGACAATTGGAAATAAGTAAGAGTAACATGGCTGATAAGTATTTGCTTCTTTACGACCTGCACGAATAACATTAGTGATACTGATGCATCAACTTTAAAGCATTTGATTTAAACTAGATAACTGCATACTAGTACACAAGTTGTAATCTGTGTTCATTTCTGCTCTAATTTTCGGCAAATGTTAGTATTTGCAGAAATGAATGAGTAGAGGTTTCATCAGAAAAAGGAAGAGTCAGAGGAGACAGTTTCTATGGTAGTTTAAAAACAAAAACAAAATATAATTCAGTGTCTAAATCACTGCTTATGAAAACATGCGCTGTTTGGAAGAACAGCAGGAAAACGTCAGCTCTCTACCACAGGCACTTGGCCTCCACTCAGCAGAGAGAAGAGGATACACATTCATCAGATTACTTTGTTTCTGCACTTCTGTAAGAGGAGACTGTCAGCAGTGGGATGCAGTCTGTCCCACATTTAGCCTGAGACACCAACAACAAACAGCCTCTCACCTCTGCGTAGGGACGGCTGAGGCCCCTTTAAAGCTCTGGGGCCACACTGGGGCCACACTGGGGCCACACTGGGACCACACTGGGGACACACTGGGACCACACTGGGACCACACTGGGGCCACACTGGGGCCACACTGGGACCACACTGGGACCACACTGGGACCACACTGGGGCCACACTGGGGCCACACTGGGGCCACACTGGGACCACACTGGGGCCACACTGGGACCACACTGGGGCCACACTGGGACCACACTGGGGCCACACTGGGGCCACACTGGGACCACACTGGGACCACACTGGGACCACACTGGGGCCACACTGGGGCCACACTGGGACCACACTGGGGCCACACTGGGACCACACCGGGGACACACCGGGGACACACCGGGGCCACACCGGGGCCACACCGGGGCCACACCGGGGCCACACCGGGGCCACACCGGGGCCACACTGGGACCAGCTACATTATAATGCACATATCACAGATACATGACTTTCAAAACGTTATATACAGTACTACAAAGCGTATACTTTGATACATGAATACTGAGAAGTATCCATGCACGTATCAAACACATGACTTGTGCACGTTTATCTAGGTAGAACAATACACATTCTACAGTTGTGAGCATACAAGAGAGAAAGACAACAAGGTATTACAAACATTAAGTCATAAAAAGACAATTGTATTTGACTCACATTAGAAGTGGGTTCTCCTTTATCCATGGGGATGTCCAGCTGCTTTGACGTCATTTAGTTCTTCACTGATGTCTTCCTCCTCTCTGATGGTCCTGTTGTTTCAGAATCAGAAGCAGAATGGGTTTTATTACCAAGGAATCTGAGGAAGTTTCTTTGGTGTAAATGGCACGTACAAAGACACAGAATACGGTGTGTTTGTATGAAAAAGAAGGAGCAACAAATAGTACTGTTATAAAATATATCTTAAAAACTCTTATAAAGACTATTGTAGAAATAAATAAAAACAATATTTACACAAATATGTCAGAAACTGAGTACAGTTAAATAGCTGTGCAGGTTTAAAAGTGTGGAGCAGATAAAAGATAGGACTTTATTATTATGGAAATTATTGTGCCAGAGTTATAAAGATACAATAAACACAGCAGTATACTAATAAAAGTAAGAATTATAATAATTATGTAAAGTGGCAAATTCAGTTAATATTGCACATTGTTATTAATATTGCACATGATAGAAAGTAGAAAGTGTTTGTTATGATGATAATGCTATTTATATTGCACATAGTAGGAAAGATCTCCTGTGGTGGTCCTCGGTGGTCTCAGTCAAAGGGTTGTGCAGGATTTAAATCATTAAAATAAAAATATATTGTTCGCATATCAGAACAAACATTCATTTGTTTTGTTTACAGAAGTATTTTTCCTCTTTAACCGTCATTAGCACGTTAGCTGGTAGCATGCATTAGCACGTTAGCTGGTAGCATGCATTAGCACGTTAGCTTCCAGCGTTACCTAGCGACAATGGAACACCAGCTGACTTAACTGTACCTGAAAGCTAACAGCTGTTTCATTTAAATACCGTTGTTATGTTATTTATAGCATAGAAAGAGTGGGAAAGGCTTGGTAATGTACTTCTTACTTTGTTTTCCAGAGACGGTGCTGATCGCAGTGTGGTGTTGGTCTTACAGAGGCGCTTCTGATTGAGATGTTTTTACTAAAACTAATCAAGGGCTGATGAGAAACACCTGGCACACTTTCCTCAGGTGCGCGTCATTAAGGCTGCAATACTCTATCTGACCACATATACTATATAAAGACCAGGGGGGCGCTGTTTCACCCATTTTCACTCAGCAAGATATTGCAAATACATTAACAATAACATAAAATACATATTAACTGTAAATAGGCCTATATATATCAAATGTATATTAATTCATATGATAGAATACAGCATTTTAAATATACAGAATAAGTTATAATACCCTATATTAGAGCAACCTACTAGTAAAAGAATAAACCTAGGATACACAGAGAAGTGTTTTTACATAACAAAAAAAGGTTTGCGTTATTATTATTAGTTTCATTATCGTAAATACACAGCTCTGGGAACTAAATGGTACAGCATATACTGTTATATGTCTTTAGATTTCTACAGTGTTACATAAGATTACATATGTCTAGTATTTACAGTCGTAAAGCATCTGATCCATCACATTAGATAGAGAATTGAGCTGTGGCCTTGGGCAGACAATGTGTGTGCACACAGTGTAATGTTCATACTCCAGGTGACGCCTACGGAGCCTTAAGCTTTCAGCTAACTAGAAGTCTTTAAGGCTCAGATTGTCTTGTATTGTGTTGAATTTGATTCTATTGTGTGTCAAGACAATGATGACAGTGACAAAGAAGAGTGCTGGAGGGCAGATGGAGTAAAGTTTCTGCACAATTTCCCTCATTTAGAGAAGATAGAGGTGGAGAGAAGAAGACAAGGCCGATATATTGGCTCTAAAACATAGCATATTCAAATATATCTTACATTTTTACAAGATTGTGTCACTAAACACTATCAAATTCAGTCAGAACTACCTGTGCATCCACCCTAGAAACATCACCCTTTAAAAGCCGGACCATGATAATGAGAAAGTCCTTTGTACGGACAAAAGACAAGCTCACAAAAACAAGAACAACAATGTGAACTGAGTCATAAACAATTGGTGGCAAATAACAGCAATTTCACAGCTAATTCGTAGATTTCACGTGTGGACGCCTCCATCACCTCCCTCCGTTTAATGCTGTGAAAAGAGACACACGCTGACATTACAGACAAGTACAGTGTGAGTGTGAGTGTGAGTGTGTGTGTGTGTGTGTGTGTGTGTGTGTGTGTGTGTGTGTGTGTGTGTAGGTCTTAGGTCTAATGATTTAAGCCTATAGTCTGAGTGTAAGACCTACTGCTGGGCACAGACATGTGCAGAAACACACACACACACACTGTTGTTACTACAGGTGTCACCACGATTGCAGGTGAGATTTGATTGGTAATGAGATTAAATACACAAATCATTTCCCTTTGCTTCTTTAAATTGTCAGGAGTGCAATGCCATTATATAATAAAACAGCTCAGATGAAATCACGTATATTGCCTAAAAAAGATTTTTGCACCTTCATTTTTTCTTCCACCCTCATCTCGCAACGGAAGAGGATTTTGGGCCTTTAAAGGATTATTTTTGAATCTTGTATTTTTAGGAGTCACCTGTTGCTTATGGCAGGGTTAGATAAGTCTGAACATGATGGAAAATAAACTGATATGTATTTGGTGTCTTTGATTTGTTTGCCAGTCCCATTTCTGTCCCTATAGGGTTTTATAAAGTCTTCCATGTGTTGAGTATGTTCATATGATTGGGAGTTTGAATTCATCTAACATATTTGGTTACAGCTCTCACAAATATCTTCACAAAAAGAGGTTGTTAAATACTTGGTTACACCTTGAATTTCACCTCCCACCTCTCTAGATTCTATGCTAAGTTAATACACCATAAACACGGTTAAATTAAAGGTAAATACATTGCATATTTATAGTCTAAGTTTTTAGTGGCATTTGATGAAACAGCAGGTAAAACATTAAGACTCAGGTCGTTCTGCTCTTGCTTTGAAAAATGGTTCAATGAGTCATTGCAATTAAGCTACAGAAAACAGGTTTGGGAGGTAAAATAGGTCACTTTTAAACATATTTCTTCTGCTTTCCCAGATTTCACCCCTGACAGTGTTGCCCTAGATATTTCTCCATCCTTGTCAGACACACTTTCAGGTCTCATGGCTGCCAGCGAGGAGGAGAAGACGAGGAGATCAGCGCAGACGAGAAGTGAAAAGGATGAAGAAAATCCAATCGATCCAGAAACCTCCATCATAATCTTGTTGACGTCCTCAGATGGCGCAGACAGCAGCCCTGGAGCCACTTTAGAGAACACATTCAATCCCAAAACTGCTTTTTGTATTTATTTTAAAAGGCCTCAGAAAGGTGCAATACATTTGAAATACTCTACTGCATCCTTGTGGCTGATGCATGAAGTGCAGAAGGGAAAAGAAATCACATTATTTCAGGTTTTTATTCTTCCACTTCTGGCTTTTATTTCCAAGCAAATGTACAGTTGATTGCCGTTGAAAGCTACAGAAAGGTTGGCAAAAAATCCACAAGTAAATCTTGATATGACTCTGTTAAAAACTGTATATAAAAAGACCCCAAAACTGTACATCAATTAACATAACTACATGAATATTATATATACTGTATCTGAGCATACAGTGCTTTATAGATATTGATGGTTATGAGAAATATAACACTATAATACATCGTAAAAGAGGAAATAACATTCTGTTCGAAGGCTGTCAGTTCAGGTCTAGTTGAAAGAGTTGGGACAAGAGCGATTTGTACATTAAATCCACGGCTTTTTTTCTACAGCAAAGTGTCAATCATCAGATCGATTCAGTGCGGGTGTATCTGAGCTAACAACACACAAATCTCTTTTTGAAAGCATACATACATCTCCAGTGTTGTTTGGTTGTTCCAATTCCTAATAAATAAATAGGACACGCATCAAATACTGTACTCAGGATGTAAAAAAACATAATCTCTAACATATATACAAAATGCATTTAAGTAAATGTGGGTATAGTTTTGTAATTCATTAATTTATTCATTTGGATTCAACAGTTTTTCACAACTATTGGAGATACAGGAAGTACCTGACTATCTCTTGGGAAGATTACGTGTGTGCTTTTGTATTTGGTTAAAGTGATTATTAAATATGCAAATTAGGTCACATTTATCAAATAATCTCACTGTGAAATAACCCATTTGATTTACCGTTTTACATAAATATCGATTTTTGTAGTACTCAGAGAGGCTAAATTGAAAGGAAACATGTCGACCAAATCCCAGTTTGTAACATTAATATATTTCCAGTGTGTGACCACCACTTTTAACGAGGTACAGGGGAATTTTAAACATTACACATAATAGAAAACAACAAAAAGAACCTCTCAGAGACAGGTGCCCTCCTGGATATGTATAAAACATTTGGAATAAAAACCATAAAAAACAGATATTTTGGTGCAAGAAGTACTGAACATTCACCGTGTATCTCTTGTGTTATTTCAGTGCTGCGTTTGTTCTGAATAAATCTTATTGGACAGTGTAACCTGTGTAAATCTGTGCTTACATTCACCTTTTTTTCCCATTCTCGCAGTCATGCATCCACACACCTATCATCAGCGGTGATTTTGTACGCCTGATGGCTTGTTATGAATCCTAAATGAACCTTAATGCCAGCTAAGACAGTTCAGCAGAGACAGAGAAACTACCACAAGGCACCTACAGTTAAGCAGCTAAAAGGTATCTCGAGCAGCGACAAGGCTTTGGTTCGTATTATCCCAATAAAGAAAGCATGATTTCTACACTGTCTCACATTGATAGATGCATGGACGGATGGTGGAGAGGATGATGATGATCAGACGGGTGGAGGCGGCGCTCACAGAGGTAGGAAAACTTCCACTTCAGCGTCACTTCACCTCAGGGAGAATGAGAAAGACTGGAAGAGAGACAGCTACAAAAAGAGGGGATACATGTTGAAGCAGGAAAGTGTGAGACAGATCTGAAAAGGCCTTTTTTAAGATGGATATTAGACTTTAACACCATCATAAGGCCTTTAGGAGCATCAACACTGAGCTATTTGATGCTGAAAATACTTAATGAATGGGTCTGATGTCTCACTTTAAACAGAGTTGTTTCCAGGCTTTATGCTAAGCGTCTGCTATCAACAAATGGCTGCCTGGCAAATCAGCGAATCTCAGAAAAACTGCATTTCAATTTAAGGCATCAAGTAATTTAGGGCACTTGATCAAATCCTTTTTTCGTGTTGTGATTATCTCAACAAGGACACGCACATTTGATCCTTTTTAAAAGGTGCTTTAACACAAGTTAAATAGCTCTCAAATCTTGACTACTGACATGGACCCCAAATGTGCTTCTAAAGGATATCGTCTTTGTTTCTTTGGTAAAAGGTCATGTGGGATTTACAAAGTGACATTAAGGCATTTAAAGCAGCGGGGGAAGCTAACATACAGTATAGCCATTTCTACTATTTTCTTAGCCATTAGAACAACTTAGATCAGTCTCTGTTCATAGCATAATACGTACATGAAGAAGGTCTCCAGGTAAAGTGCTTTAAAGACAATAAGACAATAGGGGATTCTGCAGAGATGAATGCAACACACACTAAAACACTGCTAGCTATCAGTACACACACACCTGATCCACAAATGAATCTAGTCTACCTACAGGTGAAAGCTCAAGTGTTAGATGTGCAGCTAAAGTAGGTCTTATTTCCAAAAATAAGGATGAATTAGAAAAATAAGACACACTCGGATCCATATATCCAACACTTGGGCTTTACCGCTCCACTACACTCTTTCTTACAATGTTGTAGAGAGTCCTAGGGAGTGTTTCGGGATAACATGTTTGCACACAGGCAACACCAGTTAGTCCTGAAAAGAGGCAGAGATGGTGGGAGTGAAGAAAAAGAAAAGGTTTGGTCAGAGAAAGCTTAAGCCGGCTTCAGCAGCAGCAGCAGCAGCAGCACAATCACAATTATTTAAAAAAAAGTCATATAAATCCTTTAAACAAAGTACACTCCAGCTGCCAGCTAGCAAAGGCAGGCAGACTTAAAGGGCCAGTGCACATATTTCCAGTGACGTAAGAATGTGTGTGTGTGTGACATCGATACGCTGAGCCCTTTGCAAAATGTGGCGGCAAGCGAGTCCTTTAGGGGCCGTCCCATAATGCTTTGCTGCATACTTGGCTGAGCATTTGTGAAGGTCACTTTCATTGTAATCCCTTACAGATGGACTACAGATACCTGCGGTTAGCATCACAGCCAGGTATTTGACTCCAGTCACATAAATAAGTTATAGTTACTTTTGGGTAACTCCAGTGGACCGATTTATTAAACTACTCCTTTGTTCAGTTCCACAAATAGATGCAATTGTATCTGATATGAGAGAATAAGAATAGTGAGACGCAAATAAATTAGACTGAGGTCTCTGGCCCCGCCCCCCCGTTGTAGGCGTGCTTCGAGTGGCCATCGGCGAATCGGAGTAGAGGGGTGAAGGTGCTGTAGTCTGGCTGTTTCTGCCAGCGTGTGAACATGGTTTTCTTTCTAAAGGGTTCAGACCTTCGAGGGTTCCCCTGGTTGCCCGAGCCTCGCCGGTGGCCGCCTGCCTTGGACGGAGCGTGGAGAGACGCCAGGGGGGTGAACTCTGACAGGTGGCCCTCGTAGAGTTTGTCAGCGCTCTGTGGGAGAGTAAAGAGGGAGGAAGAGGAAGCAGAGAGAAGTTAAAAACAGAGACGGATACATGTGCTAAAAGGAGGAGACATTGTTATCCCAGCTGGCCAAATGCATTTGAGCACTTCTAGTTTGTCATTGATTCAAATACCTGAGTTTAAATGAATTATTATCTTTATATCTTAGGTGATATAGTATCCAACTTTGTCATGCTCTTACATTAAATACTGATGAAGAACAGTAGCATTCTGTTGTTGTCATATTTGCAACATCACTTGCTATTATTTGTATGGGTGTCTCATAATCTCAAAAAAGCCAAAACCACAGATATTTTGGAGGAAAGATAATAAGCTTGATCTAAGAAGGAGATAATGGCTGCAGGGCTTTTTATCTACAGCAACAACAAAAACACACACGACTCTTTCATCTATCAGTAACCTGATCCTGGAAACTGAGTCAGAATACAATTCAATTATTTACATAATTCAATAAATAAAGTATTGCATTGGCTTTAATCTAATCGGCCAGCTGTGACAATAACATCCTGTGCATGCTGTTTACACACGCCATGCAACCCCGGCAAATGAAGTACAAGAATATGTAAATGTATATATATAAACACCATAAAAAACACATGCAAATGGAAACATAACTTATAATAAACATGCATGAATGTGCAAGGATAAAAAAGTGTCACTAGAGAGCGCCAGAGCTCCATGTGAAGACCCAACAGGATGCAAAGGTTTTATACAATACCTGAGAACCTCACACACACACACACACACACAATATACCCCTGTGTTAGTCAGGTAAAACGCACAAATCTGTGACACCACACCACAGCAGAGTGAACCCCATCACTGCAGGATGTTAGCTTCACCCACCATTACCAACTCCTACCATTACACACTCTGTGTTACCGTGCTGCAGCGCTCTAGGCTTCTGTGAGCGCTATTCCATCTAGTAAGGAGTCTGAGCTGTGGTAGGTCAGGGTCCTCTGTGACACTGTAATACCCCTCAAACGCTGTGGACACGCACACAACCATTCAAAGACATTAAGGATCTGACATGTACACACATTAAAACAGTCATGTGAAACACTGTACGACGAAAACAATGACATAATGGTCTAGTTGCCAGCCTTGTGAACCCTGGACCTATTTGTGCTTGCAAATAGACTATAAGGTGCATTTACACTACAGGTTATCCAGGCATGCAATCAGACTGACAGACAAGTGACTTCATGCAGAAACAGTGGCAGGGAGAAAAGGAACAGGATACAAGAGAAAGAGGGTTTGACACAAGTTAGCGACAGGAGGAAAGGCTGAGGGTCACCTAGGGTTAGAAACTGATTCTGCTGGAAGTCTGAGACAGCATGAAGATGGTGGAGGGCTCAGAGGCAAGGCAGCGACGCTTAGTCTGCTACGGGGTGAAGAGGAGGAGGAACAAGGAGGTAAGAGGGAGAGGGGAAGAGTTAAAGCTCTGGAAATCAGTCACATGATCAATTATCTACAGAGAATTAACCGTTATAAAGTTTGTTAAGGGAGAAGACGTGTAGGACGTAATATAGAGAAGGTTGTTTAAAACGAACGAGACACACGCACACGCACACGCACGCACACACACACACACACACACACACACACACACACACACACACACACACACACACACACACACACACACACACACACACACACACACAACACACACACACACACACACACACACACACACACACACACACACACACACACACACACACACACACACACACACACACACACACACACACACACACACACACACACACACACACACACACACACACACACACACACACACACACACACACACACACACACACACACAGACTTACATCAAACAGAGTAGGGACGTAGCCAAAGCCAGCATACATCTGCTGAGTCATCAGTTAGACATTACACACACTTCTCAGAGGAGGCCTTATTAATCTATAAAGCTGGTTTTAGACTCAAAGAAGGAGGGGGTCCTTCTTTGTACACAGCAGTAAATGCACACTCATCCGTGTGCATGCACCCACCTGTATGCGTTCGGTGGTGGTCGGCCACAGCGCCCGGCAGATCACCTTCTTCAACACATCTGGCAGCAGGCTGGCCGTTATCAGGAGGATTATACTGAGCCAGGCCGGACCGCTGGACAACATCTGCATGAACACATAGTACATCCTCTGGTAGTTCAGGAATGGCCTGCAGGAGAGGAGATGAAACAAGAGAGGAGAGGAGAGGAGGAGAGGAAACAAGAGAGGAGAGGAGAGGAAACAAGAAAGGAGAAGAGATGAGAAAATACAAGAGAGGAGAGGAAAGGAGGCACCACAAATAAAATAAATAGTTATTTAATTATCTTTTGAGGTTTCAGGCTTTTACAAACAAATCATGCATTTAGCAACATAGGACATGCACTCCAAAACATCTTATGCCTTATTCCCTTTAGAAACATTCATGAATTGTATGTAGATGTATTTATTTAGGGGAATCTGTACAAATATAGTGATGACATCTCCTATCCTAAATCTCTCTTCCTCTATCATCTTCTTCTGTAAACATACATAACATTTCTTAAAAGTTTAAATGATATTAATACAAATATATAAGTTCAAAGCCTACCAGATGATTCCTCCCCACAGCAGAGAGAAGACCACAAAGAAGACCAGCGAGCCCCAGATGACAAAATGGTTGATCCACGTCCAGTAATGAGTATCCAGAGCCAACTGCAGGAGAGGAGAGGGAGACATCGAGCTGTCAGGCCGAAGCTCACTCTAATGAAACCAGGAGGCTAATCCGGCCTGGCTGCTTCTGTGAGTGTGTGTGTGTGTGTGTGTGTGTGTGTGTGTGTGTGTGTGTGTGTGTGTGTGTGTGTGTGTGTGTGTGTGTGTGTGTGTGTGCGTGTGCGTGTGCGTGTGCGTGTGCGTGTGTGTGTGTGTGTGGCCTAGTCTTACTATACTTGTGGGGACCTAAATCTGTTTACACAGTCACGTGTGGGGACTCACCTCCCTTATGGGAACAAAATGGAGGTCCCCATGAGGGGAATCATTAATTTTAGGATGAAGACTTGGTTAGGTTTAGGGTAAGGTTAAGGTTAAGGGTTAGGCATGTGTTGGTTATGGTTAAGGTTAGGATAAGTCTCCAGGAAATGCATGTAAGTCAATGTAATGTCCCCTGAAGTGATGTATACATGGTATGTGTGTGTGTGTGTGTGTGTGTGTGTGTGTGTGTGTGTGTGTGTGTGTGTGTGTGTGTGTGTGTGTGTGTGTGTGTGTGTGTACCTTGAATGTAACAGTGAAGACCAGCACAGTGAAGACCAGCGTCCCAAACGTCCAGTTTCCAAACATCTGCAGAAAAGGTGACAACACATGCCGTTAGTGACGCATTTGAAATGAAAAATACTTAGTTTTTTGTGAAATAAAATGATGTTGGAATGCACTCATGTTATTTGAGGTCGCTCTACAGGCCTGGTGTTAATACTGCATGGTACACAAGGATAAACTCAAGTGCAAAAATCCAATAATGAATCACTCAATCATACAGATGGTAGATCGTCTGATGACTGATGGAGGGGAAAGATGAGAAATATAACCAGAAGAAGAGATGTCAACCTGATAGGAAAACATTTTAAATATGCTACGTGTGGACAAAGACAAAATGAAGCAAGGAAGCCTCTTTACTTATGGAAGTATATAAATAGTCCTGATGGCTCGGAGAGAAACCGCGAATGTGACAATGCTCTCCTGCTCTGAAAGGAGCTCCATCAGCTGAGGGGGAATTACATTAGGAGGATCACTAAATGTCATGTAATGGAAGAAAGAGGGCAGTTAATATTCATGTATCCCCTGATTTTAACTTGTCGTCACACATAATGCACACTGAATGTAAAGGTTACGCTACATTAACACCTACACACACTACACAGAAGCCTAGAGGAGATGTGACTACAGCAAGCACTAAACATGAGATGAATGGACGATGGGTGTTTTGGTATCAGGCTGTGTGACGAGACTGAAGAACTGAAAGTCGGGGGGGATGACAGAGAGACAGGGACAGGCTTACCATCTGTGTGTTGGTTGTCATTAGCTGGGAGGAGGAGGAAGAAGAGAAGCAAAAAGAAAAAGCAACAGAAAGGTAAGAGGAGAGAAAAAGAAGAAGAGGAAGAAGGCCAGAAGAAGACAAATCATAATAAAAATAAACAACAGTTTTGTGGCTGGAGAAGAATAAAATAATTCATAAATTAAAGTGAAGTCAAGCAATTCAAGGCAGACCCAAAGGATTCTGGGAGCTGCTTGAAGAAACAAATAGAGAAACACAGAGGAAGATGGTGGAGACCCGCCATGCTGTCGTATCTTTGATGTGAGCGGGAGATCGTGGACGTCCTCTTATCTTACTATTATTGACTTACCTACAAGTAAGACCATGTGTTACTGGTACAGGTCTACCATTAAAGCAATTCCTTATTTCAATGAAGTCTACAGTTAAAACAAATTGGACATGGGTGAGATTAAGCTGAGATTTATAAGTAAAATATCCTTGGTTTATGTGTATTAATAAACGTAAAACCACCCAAAAAGACAAATGTATGAGCCTGCAAAGTGACGAATAGGAAAACTACATATCTTATATTGAAGTATGCAGCATAATATTTGATAAATGAAACATCCAACAAGATTAAAAAAAACATTGTTGCAAAGATATCTATTTATATATGACTTGATTAAATTTCGTCATTTAGCAGCTTGTTGATGCTTTTACTTTGAAAAAACGCACCCTAAATGACACGTGGATGTTACCTGTCCGTTGCTGGTGAAGGTGGTGTTGTCAAACAGGAAGTAAGCACCGAAGAACATCACGATGGCGTCGTACACACCCAGGAGAGTCCAGTAAATGAAGATGGGCCACCGCAGCAGAGAGTTCTTAGCAATGTCTCTGTGAAGATGATATGAAACAGATTAAATGACGTCTTATGTGAGCGACTGCATTTATTGATCTATTCTACATTAGCTACCAGAAATGGCTGTAATGAGATCTTTCTAATTTGATTTGGTAATCATTTTGAATACATCATGGATATCGGCGCCATATAAACATTCGGTAATAAACAACCTGTGTGATTTCATAAGAGGAGAAAAGGACGAGTTTTCGTAGTCATGTGAAACCTTGAGTTCTCTCTTTGAGCTCTGACTGAACTGAAGCCAATCAAACCGAGTTAACGTGGCCTGATGTGAACGTCTCCTTTGCATGGATGTTAAATCAATAGAAAATGTTTATGCCTGCAAATTTAGAGGCAAATTGAGTTAGTGTACCGTTTTGCTTCGGAAATTACTTAATCTTCAGATGTTATTTTGTAAATAAACAATGCATTGCAGGGTTTTATAACTGAGAATATCTGAAATGTAGTCATGTGTTTCTTTGATCATGAGGCAAAAATCCGTACTTTATTTATTCTTTGAGGGACGACGCTAAGAGAAGATACAGAAACAGTATAAAATAGTAAAAGCTATTCAAACGTTAAGGATACATTTTGACATTTAAAATGTTTTATATGGTATAGTTTGTGAAGAAAACTCTTGCATTTCCCAATTAGGATAAGTTAAGCAGCTCCATTTGCAACATCAACAAGGCTGTATCAAAACAGACATTTAAAATGACATTACAATCACTGAAGACCATATTTAAAGACCCTTCAATGTACATTTGATTTATTCATCCAACCACCAAGCTTGAAATGACTTCTAAAACAAATCTGTCTGACTTGTGTGCTTGCAGTTCTCAGGATATGAAGGGATGGGGGAGTTGTACCTGTATAGCGAGGGGTCCTTCTTCAGGATGTCCACGTTGATGTGCTGCTCGATGAGGCTGTAGAGCAGGATGGGCAGCGAGGTGAAGCTGATGTTGTACAGAGTCAAGTAGGCTGTGTCAAAGAGCGGCTGGGGAGACAGGCAGAGAACATGTTAGCTTTGGAGATATACTTGTATTTTATTTATGATGTTTGTTTGATTTTTGTGTGCCTACCTGTTGTGAGAAGCCACAGAAGAACTGATAGAGGAACTGAGGGAAAATGAAACAGACATTCTGGGAAGAAGGCAGAAAGTAAAGGTTAGTTGTGATAACATATGTAATTTGTGTTGGTCTCATATTCTTCCTGTCAGACTACCTTGTAGAAGAAGTATTGCACCAGCTCTGATATGCGGATGTAGTAATAATGTCCGTGGACGAGCAGCATCTTCTTGAGGTGTTTGAACTTTGGGATGGCGTAGTCGCTGTTCCTCACCGCCTGACGACCCTCCTTACCCATGATCCCTGAAGAGGCAGATATAATGTGTTAATATGAGGTGATTTTGTTGGTTTAAATAGTGCAGGATGGAAAAACTGTGACTAACCGATGCCAACATGGGCCTCGAGGATCATGCTGACATCATTAGCTCCGTCTCCAATGGCCAGCGTGATTGGATGCTCTTCAGAGGCTTTGATCAGCTTCACAATCTAGAAAAACAAGAAACAATTATATGATACCTTTAACTCCTTACAGCAGCTTCACAGATGTGGACTTATATTTCAATATAGATCCATATCAAGTCCTCAGAGTTTTGTACCTGTGCTTTCTGCAGAGGTGCCATCCGACAGCAGAGCACGGCGCTGCAGTTGCGGCAGATTTCTAGGAAGATCTCTTTGTAGTTCCCTGAGTTGGAGTCCTCCTGGGCCGGCCTCATCACCGCAGAGAGGGTGGCTCCATCGATGATCAGACCAAAGTCAGTGCAGTCACCTGATAAACTGGACAAACACAACACCGGTCAAATACGTGCATAGTGGGGACACAGTAACACACACATTTTTGATAGTTAAATTGTTAAATATAAAACGGAAGCCCTGAGAGGCAAATGAGATACAGATAAATAGATCCATTCTCTAAGTCTGCGTTGATATGGAAAAGCGGACACACACATACTAACAACTACACACACACACAGATACCCACCCAGAGAAGGAGTCCCGGGCCATGCCCCCGTGCTGCCTCAGGACGGTCCTGCTCAGGTCGAACAGCACGTCGTGCAGACTCTGCTCCTCGGTGCGTTTGGTGGTCAGCTCCAGGATCTGGGTGTTGCGGTGAAACAGTTTGCTGGCGTAGCAGGTTGCAGCCGCCGTCTCCATCTTATCGCCCGTCAGCACCCACACCTTCATGCCCGCCTTGTGCAGAGACTCAATGGTGTCCGCCGCCTTTTCCTGGAGCCTTTAGTGAAGGGAAGTAGGGAAAGGCAGAAAAAGAGAGTGAGTTTAACACCAGGCAACAAAAGAGACACACAGTGTTAGACACAGGACGAGTTGACTTGCAATGCCCTCGGGGTTAACAATCCCTCTTAAGCCTTCACTGTAATTGCTTTAGTACCGAGTGTGCTATCGGAGGGGTGAACTCAGATACTCTCACTCAGAAGTGGAGCAGCACTTGTCACACTCACAGAATAAAGAGTAAGTGCTTCAGTGTAACAAGATGTTAATAACAGAGAACATTTATATATATAATGAACAGTGAATTCTTAAAGAGATCCTGCACCTGTCCTCCACAGCAGTGGCCCCCAGCAGGATCAGGTCTTTCTCGATTGCGTCGTACGCCTCGGCCAGGCGTTTGTCTCGGTCGTGAAGAGCCAACTTGGCCCCGTTCAGCATGTGGCAGACCTCCGTGTACTGCTCTGGACTCAGAGGCCGATACGCAACACAAAGTGTCCTCAGACCCTCCTGCAGGAGAGGTGACATTCAGACAGGGTTACAAAAAGAGAAATACAGTTATTCTCATGAGCTTATTCTTGCATATCCCATAGAAAACATGGTTATTTTAGCCTGAGATATGTGCTTCAGTTGCTCTGGATGTGAGTGTGTGGGCAGATACTGCTCTTATTACTTGATCCTCACCAATAAACCATTAATCTATGATGCAAAGGGCTCACTGACCTACATGGTTTCCACTACAGGCTCAATTCACTTCATTTAGTTGCATTATATAACATAGAATTAAGGTTGAATAAAGAGAATAATATATTATAATAACACAGATATTGTGGCTTTATGGCTTTTTGTTCACTGTCTCATGTCATTGATTAATTTAAGTGTTTTAGGGTGAGATTATAAAATACATGGTAATCACATGCAAAGTCTAACAGCTGGCATGTTCGGTCTATAAAAGCCACAGTGGGTTTTAAATGCATAAATACAGAATTACTGTTGTTACTGGATGGAAGTTGGCCATGATCCACTGATAGACTTCCTGTGGTATCAATGGAAACCACTGTGGTCGTGTTGTACAAGTGAGAGAAAATGACTGAAGTGACACATCCTTAAAAACTCTCACAGGGTGAATCATGGGAATAATGTCGCGAGAGAAAAATACTTTCTGTTACTGCTGAATCTAAAGTATACTGTAGTGTGTGTGTGTGGGGGGTGTGTGTGTGTGTGTGTGTGTGTGTGTGTGTGTGTGTGTGTGTGTGTGTGTGTGTGTGTGTGTGTGTGTGTGATTCTCACCACTGCGTTGTGCTCCACTCGCGCTCTGACCTCCTCCACCTTGCCTGAGATAACCCTGGGGAAGATGGACGAGTCGGCACCTTTACAGAACAAAAAGAGCTCACCTGCACACACACACACAGATAAAAAGAAGAGGGGGAAGAGTGTAAGAAAATAAAACAGACATATAAATGTTAATGTATGGATGCATTTTAAGTCTGAGGTGTATTACCAGTACTGGATCTGACAATGACGCTCATCCTCCGTCTGACTGAGTCGAATGTCAAAACCTCCAGCAGCTCAAACCTGAAAAGAAAAAACAGTCATCATTAAAAATCCTATAGTTATATTTACCTAAAATGTTGATAGAATATATGTATAGTTACCATATTCAATCAATCAATCAATCAATCAATGTTTATTTATATAGCTACATATAACTACATTGTTTTGAAGGGACACACTCACCTCTCAATCTCATCCTCCCTGTTCAAGATCTCCATGTGACCGTCTTTGAGTCTCAGGTAGGTGAAGCCAAGCCTGCAGCACAGAGCAAAACAACATTATTGGAAATAAAAGGACAAATTGAGTGGAAAAAAACAAATTGACTGGAAAAAAACATGGACAAATTGAATGCATCTTAATGCTAATGTGTGTAAAAATGGCTCAAATATTCTGATTAAGACTGGCGTTGTTTGTGTGTGTGTGTGTGTTCCACCTCTTCATGCCCTCCACCAGCGCCACCTCGTCCGGAGAAGAGGAGATGTAGAAGGAGGTGGACTTGCCCTGATGGATGCCGTGTTTGATCCCGTCCACCGTCTCCTCCTCCTTCACCTGCACCGTGTGGCACAGACACAGCGCCCGGAAAAACAGCTCCTCGTGGTCCTGTCAAATAACACAGTGTTAACACAATGCACACAAAAATATATATACACACAAATACACTCAAACTGAAGCGATGCTCACCCTGGCTCCGGGACCTGGTGATGAGTCTATCATGTCCATACTAGTAGCACCAGGCATCACCTAACAACACAAATTTAAATATCTCATATATGTCTCGTGTTTTCCCAGGTTAGGAAAAGATAAACAAACGTCCATCAGTTACCTGTCCGTTACAGATGGCATCAGCAACGTAAATGTGTCCGTCCACACAGCACTCGATGAACTCCATGTTGTTTTCTGTTAGAGTCCCTGTCTTGTCCGTAAACACATACTCCACCTGGTGACGAAGCAGAATATATGTGTGACTTCTCTGTACACAATATAAACGTTTGATTTAACAACGTCTCAAGCTACCTGTCCCAGCTCCTCGTTCAGGTCCGACGTGTTGACGACAGCTCTCTCCCCGAGTTCCTCGTCGAACATGTCGTCGTCCCACATGATGAAGTAGGAGCCGAGGAACTTCTGCATCTCCACCGTGACGTACATGGAGACGGGAATGATGTAGTTGAACAGAACCATGAACGCCAGGAAGTCTGTGAACGCCCTGACCACCTGAGGAAGAGGAGGAGGGAAAATGAGAAGGTAAGGGCGGATGAAGACATTTTGACTCCAGGTTGAGGGAGGGTGTTTAGACTCACGATGTGCCTCTGTCTCTCAGTGTCGGTCCGGTTGTTGTACCACGGCTCGTCTCTGTTGGAGTCGGCCTGCCAGACGTATTTCAGCAGCGTGTTGATGAGCGCCTTGCTGATGAGGATGCACAGGTACACCACCAGGTAGGCATTCATCGACCTGAAGGGGGGACAGCGAAACACGATTTATATCTGGATATATGGACACAATAATATGTATCTGAAAGTTAAAAGAGAGAGAGAGATTACTTTTCAACCGCAGAGCGTTTCTGAGTCTTGGACTGGTAGTTTAGAGCCATCTTGGTTTCCATACCAGTGTAGATGGCAACCGCTAAAAAGGAGGCCGAGGGGAATAGTGAACATCAACGTTTCTTGACGGAAAAATCTATTAAAATAAGTTAAGGCTGTTCTACTATCTTTTAGAGGGATACAGGCAACCTTATACAATACACACAACCACATGAGACCAAAAATGCAGACTCCGTAAATATCAACTGAAGAAAACGGAGAGAAAAATCCAGTTCATTTGATTAAAAAAAAGCGTATTTCAGGTGATATTACCATAAATATACTCAGTGTTCTTCAGCGTGGCACCTCGCAGCAGCAGGTTCTCTGCTCCTAACGGCCTGTGGACAGAAAGCAACTTATTTCACGAGGTGTTCTCACCCTTCATTTGGAAAAGTTGCCTCTTTTACAGTACATGTATGTCACCTAATAACAAAATCCTTATTTGAAAACTAAGCCCCTGTTAAACAATCCAAAATATCAATAATTTTTCCAAACAAATGGAAAAGTAATTAAACTTGTTTATCATACTGTAAAAAAAGGTATCTAAGGTAGATAAGATACTCATTCATAGAAAATAAACTTTGGGTTACCTGGCAACCGGCTCGTTGTCCATGTAGATGTTGATTCGGCCCACAAATCTGTGTAGGAAGGACACAATATAAACATTTATGTATTTATTTCGAGACAGGGTATTTACAGTTGTGTGTGTGTGCGTGTTGTACTGACTTGTACAGGTCCGGCTGCGGTTGTTCACATTCAATCGTCGCCTGGATGGAGTCCACCTCCTTCTCTGTGTTGTAAGCTTTGGTGTCCTGAACTGCATAGAGAGTCTAGAGACGAGAGAATCGATAGGTGGATAAAAAGAGACATATTAAGACATTTGCAACAAAAAACTAACAGCGTTGACTTGAATATACTGTAGTAAATAAGGACTGTGTGAAGGCAAGGTAGCTTCGCTGCAGTAACTCCTTTGTAGGATGTACACTGACTTTGGATTATTACCTCATTCAAACTCATTTCCCAACATCCTAACGTTCCCTTTAACACACACATCCTGTACACACCTTGTGGCTGCTCTCTCCGTCCAGACTGGCTGTCGTAACGAAGCAGGTGCCGTCATCTCGAGACGTGGAAAGAAGGATGAGGTCGCAGGGAAACGTCTCATTTTCTTTCATGAAGACGACATCTCCAACCTAAGAGACACACACACATTTTGATTTAGAAACCTGAAACTCCTACAGTAGATGCAGTGTCTTCAAGCCTGCAATTAGTTTATACTAATGCAGTTTGTACTAATGCAGTTAGCCTTACAAGCTAACTTTCTGCTTTACTTTAAGCAAACATTACTTCTTTCACGTGGTTCCTTTTCCGCTGTATCTGTTATTTTAGTGGCAGTTTCACTCTTCAAATACACAACATACACTACTTTAAAAGCTGAGTTGCTCAACAGTAGCAAGAAGGCTTTGTTGATGTTATAGTGTGCAGGGTGTAAGAGATTTATCTCACACTCACCCTGAGTTTGCGACTTTGTTTGCGGACCACCTTCCCGTGCTGCACCACGTGGACGGGACACTGGTTGACGGAGTTGTCTGCTTTGTGTCTCAACCAGTCCTCGTAACCCTGAAACAGAGAGACACAGAGATAGCAGGGTGTAAAGGGGTTTAACGTCAATATCGAATTAAATCAAAAGTCGTTAAGGTTTGGGTCTCACCTGCTTTATGGAGGTGACGGTGATGACGAAGAAGAGCGGCAGCCCGCTGGTGATGGGGCTGGTGGGAGTGTCGATTATCAGCTGAAGTGACACAGAGGGAATTTAGGGCAGAAGTCACACATAGCTCAAAAAAGTAATTTACAAAGATGTACTTTAATATGAAGTACAAACATATTGATGGTAAATGGACTGTACTTATATAGCGCTTTATCCAGTCTTTAAGACCCCTCAAAGCGCTTTACATACTACATGTCATTCACCCATTCATACAGAGCAGTGTAAGTTACTCTAGGACCTAACATTCATACACATTCAGACACCGTTGGCCATGCCATCGGGAGCAACTCAGGGTTAAGTATCTTGCCCAAGGATACATCGACTTGGGCTGGGATCGAACCCACAACCTTCTGGTTGAAAGACGACCGCACTCCCTCGCAGCCACAGTCGCCCTTGATGAGCTTAATGTCCATCTTTATCTTGTTATGTTTTTTTGTGCTTATTTTCTTTATTTAGTGTAAAAACTAAAGCAGTAAGTATTATAGTAAAAGCTTTTACCTGAACCAGAAATATGATGAGAAAGTAGAAGTTGGCGACTCTCCTGAACTGCTCGAACATATTCTTTGGGACGAAGTTCCAAAATGTGTACTGGAAGAAATAATAATATACATAAAACACATTTAAAATCAGAACACTAAACATATATAAACTATCATAAACAACAGCCATTAAAAAAACATTGTAAACACTAGACAATATCAATAAACAACTGGCTTGGATGGCTAAACATATTTTATTTAATAAATAGAGAGTCTTATTAACCTCCTCAAAATATAATACCCACTCTGCTACAGTATGTTCTATTACTACAGGAATAACTCACTCACACAATAACACAAGCTTGTCGTTTCCTTTCCTGTCTTTTTATATGCACTGTCTGCTATTTCAGTGTGTTGTGATCCCTGTGTGTGAGTGTGTGTGAGTGTGAGTGTGAGTGTGTGAGTGTGTGTGAGTGTGTGTGTGTATGAGTGTGTGTGTGTGTGTATGCTGACCTTGGAGGAAACTATTCTGTTGTCGGGGAATCTTTGCTGTATAAAGGCCTCTGTTCCTGGAGGAGGCTCCTTGTGGCCGATGTAAATCGTCCTGCTGTCGACCCAGTTCTCCTCACCAACACACTGCAAAATAAAGAGGGGGGGACAAGTGTGTGAGTGTGTGTGTGTGTGTGTGTGTGTGTGTGTGTGTGTGTGTGTGTGTGTGTGTGTGTGTGTGTGTGATGAAGTACTCACAAGTTTTTGAGTTTTCAGAATGAATGAATGTGTGATAATCCTACACACACACACTGACTACGGCGTGACACACTGTTTCATACGTTTACAGAGTCAGAATGAATGAGTAATTTCTCCCCCATGAATGAGAGCTTTTGTTACCACGGATACACAGACCTGCATGTGACTCAGACTGGAATGCAGATAACACACATGTTCACACACACACACACTTGCATGTATACATACACACACACAGACACACACACACACACACACACACACACACACACACACACTACTAAGACATCTGAAAGCTTCTTCTTTTTTGACATGTCTTTGTTTAGCCTCTTATTGTCCTGCTGCTGTTTTAATCGCTGCAATATTAAAGATGCAATCAGTATTTGTATTAGTTTTTACTGATAAAAAAAGGCCATTCTTAGTTATAGGTGTGGTATACTCAAATACTCAAGTAAGAGCTTTGAGAATAAAGTATTTCAGGCAGGACTGGACACGCACTGGAAACACACACACACACACAGCGGATCTAGTAGTGGATCTCTTTTGGTTCACATATATTCCGTTTTATCTTGATAACTCACTCCTGTGAGAGAGGGGCTTTGAAATGCATTTTTTGCAAGATTTCTCATTTGTAGTTGTGATTTTTAGAAATGAGAACAGCTTCAGTTGAACACCAGATTGAATCTCGTCCAGAGGGCTTTCTTGCCATAGTATGCAGCGGCCATCTTTTAGCACCTGATCATATAGATCTGCAGAACCAGAGGCGAGACACACACACACACACACACACACACACACACACACACACACACACACACACACACACACACACACACACACACACACACACACACACACACCACACACACACACACACACACACACACACACACACACACACACACACACACACACACACACACACACACACACACACACACACACACACACACACACACACACACACACACACACACACACACACACACACTCACACTCACACTCACAAGAGCTGACAGTAATCTGTGGCTGGTGGATGATATTGGGTGTCAAGAGGCAGCATGGCCCACTTTCTACACTGTCTGTCTGTCTGTCTGTCACACGCACGCACGCACGCACGCACGCACGCACGCACGCACGCACGCACACAGCTCTAAGATTACCTTGTTTGAAGTGGAGATCTATTTATATCCTGTGACCTCAAACTATTTATAAGGAGAGCAAATTGTGGAAATATAGCAAAAGTGAGAGCAAGGGAAAAATTGGCGTGCAAATACAAATTGATATCTTCAAGACGTACAGTAAATCCTCTCCGTGTCCCTCTCTCTACGCCCTGTTCTTCACCTTCTGAGTCCAGCATGCATTAACACTCATCCTGCATTACATCTATCATATCAGGGAGGATAGTGACAGAGATCTGATGAAAACCAGAGAGCATGGAGAGCTCTCCAACTCTCGCCCACACACTGTTCCTGCTTTTCTCCCACCTGCCTGCTCCGTCTGCTTCACCTAACACGGTTTCTTTTTTTGAACAACACACTTCCTGTTAGTCGACTGCATTATGGAAGAGAGCCATGCATATACAGGAAGCCCAGAGGAGCATAAATACACTTTGCATTATGGAGATGATAATAATGGGTTGTATCTGAAAAAGAGCTGCAGAGATGAACAGATCAGTTGTTCATTATTTCATTAATATTCAACTATTTTAATAATCTGTTTGTCCTACAGGTGTATGATTGGCTGACAATGATGCAATCAGTTGATAAAGATGGTCAAAAATACATTTTCAGCTACAACTTGAAGCCATGTACACGTAGAAACCCTGCTGACTCACACAATGATGATGAACCTTATGATTATAACATGACTGTCTGTTAAGTGCCGATCAAATGGAGGTAATGGAGACAGGTGGCGCAGTGGGCTCCTCTCACTGTCATCACTTCCTTGTTTTTCTTGGAGCAGCTTTATTGGTTTTCACGCCTCTTTCCTCTCTGACTCTCACCACAACCTGGATGGCCTCTAAGCAGACGATCTCTCTCCTATCGATTACCTTAAGCTTTCATCCCCATTCAAGCTTTTTACATGAAAGCCTCTCTGTGTATAATCGGATAAAAAGGCAGCTATCACAAACAATAGCTGGGCTTATAAAATAACGCTGCCCTGTGTTAGCCCGGGCCTTCAGCCTTTCGATGTAACCGGACACTTCGGGCTATTCTGGCTCTGATAATCACTTTTAGCGGCGTTTCGGGTTACAGGACGCGGCTGGTTTCAGGGGGGTATTTATAGTTGGAAGGGAAACATTTGTGGTCAGAAGAGAGAGGGACGGAGAGCTTTGTCTCTGTCTGTCTCACTCTGCAGCCACATCCATTTTCCTTAAAGCCACATTAGTGGAATGCGCCGGGAGCCTTTTAGGGATCTCGCATCCTGCAACATCAAACATGTATGAGAGCATTAACCTCTGGAGTCTCTGCTCCGCGGGATACATTTAGATCTTCAGACTATTCTTCTCGTAAATTGTGTGTTTTATGTCTTCATATCTGAGAATAATAGAGTACTTTTAGGGAGGATTTGAAGGTTTTGAAGGTCATGTTTAAGGGGAAGCCTGAATGTGCAAACAGGTGCACATGTTTTACAGAAGTGAAACTAACTATTTTAAAGTTATATTTAAATTCATTACACTGATATATCAGACCATTGAGATTGCTGAGTCAAAACTGCAACTGCATTTCACTTCCAAACTCCAACAATCACACCTTAATGACTCAAAGCTCGACTTAAATGTGTCAGTAGGTCGGTGATTTCAAAATAACAATCATTGTTCCCACAGGACCTGAACACAGCATTGCAGAGCCAGAAACTGAAGCCCCACGGTGATCAGGAAGAGAGGAACATTGTAAACAGGAAATGCTTGGCCCACCAACCCACACACACACACACGCGCACACACACACACACACACACACACACACACACACACACACACACACACACACACTTCCTGAAACAAGCAGCTACCCCCTTCACTCCTCTACCAGCTAGAGTAAAAGACAAGAGGAAATCAAATGAAGATATTGAGCATTAAATGGAAGTGTTTGTAGGATACAGCCAGGGAAGAAAATCAGCGTTAATTTTAATCTGATTATTTTCTCCCTACCAAAAAATACATTCTGATCGGAGGGACACTGAAAAGTTTGAAGAAATCCTCTAAAATTAATTAATTTCCAAAAATGCAGATACATCCGTAAAAACATGATTACACCGGCACAAAAAAACCTTTCATTCAATTTAACATATTCCTGATTTACTGTTGTTGCTATGACACCTGCATGTCCTTGCTGGGATTAATAAAGGTTTAATTTATCATATTAATAATAAGGTTTTGTAGCATTTTGGGAAATGTCTGATTTAAAACCATCAAATGTGTTTTTCACCTCTGCTGTAATACTCCTGAATGATGCCTGGCATGTAAAGATAAAATTTACTGTGAGCAGGACACACACACACACACACACACACACACACACACACACACACAACACACACACACAAACACACACACACACCCCACACACACACCACACACACACACTACACACACACACACACACACACACACACACACACACACACACACACACACACACACACACACACACACACACACACACACACACACACACACACACACTACACACACACACACACACACACACACACACACACACACACACACCTGTAAAATGCTGAGCTGTTGTACGACTGAAGACCAAACCCCAGAGTATTTTATCTCCCGCTGCAACAGGCGGCTGAAAATAAGTCTCAACAATAGCCCACGGACGACAACCTGCTCTCTGAGATACCGCTGACACATACACACACTTTCACTTAAAAGTACTGTGTCTTATATCAGGGATCAGGTGCAAACACACTCTCTGAATAAGTGTTATCTGTCTGCTGCCACTGAGCTGCAGAGATAAGAGAAATCACTAAATCACCTTAAACACAGACAGAGAGTGTGTTGACTGCTCTTCGGATGTTTTGGCGATAAGGGTAGAGGGATAAATGTAGGTGTGTCGTGATTGCTAGCTGTTTATTCTCAGTATTTAGAACACGGTAGTGCTTTAGGAGCGTTTTCCAAAGTCACTACTTTCTTTGTGGCTGCTCCCGATGGATTCAAAGTTTAAAAGAGGCACTGGGGCAGGTTGGAAATAGCAGCGAACACGTTCTATTTTGTTTTATATGCATGCTGCTCAGCCTGGGAACATGAGAATCTGCTGCAAAATGTACATCCACAATGCAGAGAGATAACAAAGCCAGATGATGTGGAGGATTAAGCAATGTAAATCTTTATATAATGTGCATTTGATATTCAGATTAATGTCCTGATATCTACATGTGACAGTGTGTGTGTGTGTGTGTGTGTGTGTGTGTGTGTGTGTGTGTATGTGTGTGTGTGTGTGTGTGTGTGTGTGTGTGTGTGTGTGTGTGTGTGTGTGTGTGTGTGTGTGTGTGTGTGTGTGTGTGTATGTGTGTGTGTGTGTGTGTGTGTGTGTGTGTGTGTGTGTGTGTGTGTGTGTGTGTGTGTTTAACCTGCCAGTGCAACCCTAAATACCAGCTGTGCTCCCCATCTGTTGCTCAGCCTCATTTGAGACTAGACCAAATAAGATAATGAGAAATCGTCATCGTGCACCTTCACAACGAGATGAGAACAGTCAAGGAGTATTTACAGTCGAGGGAAGGGAAGGATTGAATTTGTCGGACAAAACCTGTACCTCTTTTATCACTAACCACACATGAAAAAAATCAAGTCCCAACCTGAAAGGAACGAAGTGACATGAACCGTAATGCATTTCACACGTTAACAGTTCTGTTCCTGGCTGGCAGGT